ATGTTTTATGAATAAACACGATGTTTTGGAAATATTTATCAAAAGAAATTTATACTATGTTGCGAATTACAATTTCGAGATAACCTTCTTTTATTTACGAACTTATGTCTTTGATGCTGAAATTGACAACTTTATAAAAATACATTTTCACTGAAATTATGAAATCTGGGTGTCGGAAAGGTGTAAAATTATTCTTCGGAAAAGAAAAAAACAGTAGTTGAGCTAGATAAGAAATTATACGGGGGCAGGCTCCTATGGAGAATTAACATTACTGGAAACAGGCCCTTTGACAAAGATCCCTCTAGTACTTTCTGAGAATTAGCCATAACAAACTTAAACTGTCAAAATCCAAAATGGCCACCTGTCAACAATTTTGTTCATATGCAATAAATGCTAGAAAGATCCATCCAGTACTTTCTGGGAAATAGAAATAACAAACATTCACTGTAAAAAAACAAGATGGTTGTCAGTCTGCCATATTATTTATCTGATCAGTCTAACAAGAGGCCCATGGGCCTTAACGGTCACCTGAGTTCTGATATATTTATACAGAGAGTTGATTTTTGTTTTTTAAACATGAACAGAAGTATTATTCAAAGTGACAAAAAACAACAAAACAACCTTATTCAATATCTAGCATACAGATTTAGGACTGAAAAGTATTTGAAATACCTCTGATTCTAAACAAGGAAAATGAAGAAATGTTAGCACACTGACTCCTTTGGGCGCCCTTGGGGGTAGAGCTGGCTCAAAATTTTCAAAGTATCAAACTGTCAACTCAGGTTTATAATTCCAATCAAGTTATCAACATGTAATACTCAAAGTATCATTTGCCATAAAAATTGTTCACGGACGGACGACGACGGACAAAAGGCGATCGCAATAGATCACTTCAGACTTTGTCTCAGGTGACCTAAAAAGTGAACAAGCACAAAAAAGACAAAGGGGCACCTACATATCAAATTTGAGAAAGATCCCTCCATCCTTTCCTGCGACATAGCAATAACAAATATACTGTCAAAGTCCAAGATGGACGCTTGTCTGTAATTTTGCTTTAACGATAAGTCTCAGAAGTAAAGTAAAGACCAAGGGGAACCTACATATCAAACTTGAGAAAGATCCATCTAGTACTTTCTGTGAAATAGGGATAACAAACCTTAAAATCAAAATGGTTGCTTGTCGGCCATTTTGTTGATACGATCAGTGTCAAAATTTGATATGCATAACTAGTCACCATGGGGAGCTTTCATGTGAAATTTAAGAAAGATCAATTTGGTAATTTCTGAAAAAAGTGCTAACAAAATTTAAATCAATTAATTCAAGATGGTGCCTATCGGCCATCTTGGTTTTCCGATTAGTATCAAAAAGCGATATGCATAACTAAGGACCATGGGGAACTTTCATGTGAAATTTGAGAAGGATACCTTCAGTACTTTCTGAGAAATAACGCTAACAAACTTTAACTCTCAAATTCAAGATGGCTGCCTGTTGGCCATTTTGGTTTTTATGATCAGTCCCAAAAAACGATATGCATAACTAAGGGTCATGGGGAATGTTCATGTGAAGTTTGAGAAAGATCCCTTCAGTACTTTTTGTGAAATAGCGCTAACAAACTTTTAACTCTCAAATTCAAGATGGCTTGTCGAATGCCATCTTGGTTTTCTGATCAGTATCAAAATAAAATATACATAACTACAAGAGGCCCAAAGTGCCTGTATCGCTCACCTGGATATCTAAGCAATCATGGCAGAATATTCTCCAAATGAGATCCATGGGAATATGCCAGACCCCAAAGCCAATCCTTGTAGCATATATATCTGTATTTGATTGTTCATACCCAGCAATTTTACGTATGGTTATGGGGTGGGGATCTCAACTGTTTCCAAGCTGTGACTCAGAAACTAGGTCCCTAGGGTTTTGGCGAGACCCCAGGATCAATTCTAATATCATGAATGCATTTGTCACTTTTTGCCCAGCATTTGTATATATAGTTTTCGGGTCGGGGATCTCAACCGTTTCAAAGTTATGACCCAGGGGTTTAGTCTGCAAGGGTGGGGCAAACCCTGGGGTCAATTCTAATATCATGACTGCATTTGTCTCTTTATGCCCAACAATTGTATATATAGTTTTGGGGTGGGGATCTTAACCATTTCGAAGTTATGACCCAGGGGTTAAGTCTCAAAAGGTCGGGCAGTCCCCAAGGCCATCCTGGAAGCATATGTGCATTCATCTCTTTATACTCAGCAATTGTCTATATGGTTATAGGGCGAGATCTCAACTGTTTCTAAGCTGTGACTAAGAAACTAGGTCCCTAGGGGTTCAGTCAGACCCCAGGGTCTATTCTAATATTGTGACTGCATTCGTCTCTTTATGACCAGCATTTGTATATATAGTTTTGGGGTGGGGATCTCAACCGTTTTAAAGTTATGGCCCAAGGACTATGTTTCCAAGGGTGGGGCCAGACCCTAGGGCCATCCTGGAAGCAAATGTGCATTCTTCTCTTTATACTCAGCAATTGTATATATGGTTATATGGTGGGGATCTCAACCATTTCCAGGCAATAAACATTTTTTGGTCCCCCCCCCTAGCCTTGGGGGTCAGCCCCACCATTTGTACAATTTTAAATCTCTGCCTCCCATGAATGCTTCCGACCAAATATGATCGATATCCAGTGCATAGTTCTACAGAAGAAGTTGTTTATAGCAATATACCATTTGTACAATTTTGAATCCCCACCACCTAGGGATGCTTCCAGTCAAATATGGTTGATATCCATGGCATAGTTCCAGAGAAGAAGTCGTTAAAGCAATATAGCCAAATTGACTCCTTTTGGCCCCGCCCTCAGCCCTCTGGGGGTCAGCCCCACCATTTGTACAATTTTGAATCCCTGCATCCCATGAATGCTTTTGATTAAATATGATTGATATCCAGTGCATAGTTCTACAGAAGAAGTCGTTTGTAGAAATATAGCTAAATTACCCCTTTTTGGCTCCGCCCCATCAGCCCCACCATTTGTACAATTTTGAATCCTCACCACCTAGGGATGCTTCCAGTCTAATATGGTTGATATCCATCACTTAGTTCCAGAGAAGAAGTCGCTTAAAGCAGTTTAGCTAAATTGTCCCCTTTTTGCCCCGCCTCTCAGCCCCCTGGGGGGTTAGCCCCACCATTTGTACAATTTTGAATCCCCACCATCTAGGGATGCTTCCAGTCAAATTTAGTTACATTCAAATCAGTGGTTAAGAAGAAGAAGTCGTTTAAAGAAATTGTTGACGGACGACAGACGCCACGGTATGGCATAAGCTCACCTTGGTCCTTCGGACCAGGTGAGCTAACAATGTAGGAACCATGGGGAACCTTCATGTGAAATTTTAGAAAGATACCTACAGTACTTTCTGAGAAATAGCGCGAACAAGAATTGTTTAAGGACGGACGGACCACGGACGCAGGGCGATTCGAATAGCCCACCATCTGATGATGGTGGGCTTAAAATATGACATTGGTATAATCACTGGATAACACGGTACATTATGTGACAAATAAAAGCCTCCAGTTTTGAAGACTAAAACACTGACAAGTCAGCAAGAGCCCTGCCATGTGCGTGATCAACCCTCCACCCCTCTGATGCGAAACCCTAATAATTGGCAATTAAAGAAGTTGGATGTAACTTTGATATGTGACCTCATGACATGCATCACTGCCTTCAATATTCTAATGTTCATGATAAAATAGTTAACTATTTTGAGATGATTTACAATAAATGTAGTCCGATGTGTCTGTTACCTTTGACCTTATAACCTTGACTCTTGTGTCAAAATGACTCTTGTATAAATGCCTATTCTTATGTATACAAAAGAGATTAATACTTTTTGAGATAATTTGCTGTTTCAATCATTCTTAAAATGGATTTCAAGATAGCAGCTCTGGTCGCCATATTGGATTTCAAATCGGCTTGATATATAACATGTAGTCAACCATGCACTGTTTGTTTCCACAAAGTTTCATTTAAATCCGTTCCATAGAGTTTGAGTAAACAGTTATTAGAAGACGCACAATGGACAAAGGTAGAAAGCTGCAGCTCAAACAGCAATCATCTTTAAAAAACCACCTGAATAAGTTTTAAAAAATACCTTTTTATTACACATTTTTCATCATAACAGAAAGGTACAAACAACATTTCTTAAGTTTTCAGTGCACATAAATAAAAATTTTGGTAACTTAAGACAAAATCTTTTAAATTTAACACATCCCCAAAAATTGAAAAGAATAAATTAAATAGTTAATACTGAAAATGCCATCTCCAAAGTCCCTGTTCAAAGATTGATGTGTTGTTATCAAATATGACTGGAAGCAGCGATTGAGAGATTGATTAAGTGACAGAAGTGACAGTAATGAGTGCTTTGAAATAGTCATGCTGTGTGCTTCTACAATTTCAAATGATGGAAATTTAACAATTATTTAGTCCTTTTAATTTACACATTAACTTACCAAATTCAAATCAATCGAGGTACAAATATATAATTGTTTTTCAAGGACATCGAAAGAAAATGTTTATACATAAATGGAAAGTACAAAAAAAGACTATAAAAAATGAAACATATGCAATAACCAGGGTTTTCAATGCAAATCAATTTTACTGGTGTTTTCCGGTGGTTTTTTTTAATGTGATAACTTTAATACACTGTACCACTATTTTCTAACTTCAAAACATCAACCTTCAGGTGACTTTTAGAAATGTTGGAACTCTTTCCCCAACATGAATTAACAGAAAGTTCCAATGCCACAGCTGTGTACTTGTGACATTTCACTTGATCACCAACCAGGGCTTACATGTTCCAATACAGATTGGCTATATAAGTTTACACACTTCCAAAGAATTCTTTTCCCTTATTAAAGGCCCCAACCTTGTTTTTCTGTTCTGATCATAATTATTATTCCTAAAATATTTTCAATACATTAAACCTAAGATGCAATTATAAGATATTGTATCTGATTACTGAAGAAGCAAAAAATTGAAAAAGATAATTCTGTCCAGTATTTTCAAGATGTCATTTATAAAATGTTAAGTACCCTGGTATAACATCACTTTTTTTTTTTTACCAAAGTAAACACTAGAAAAGAATTTTCCACAACTTTTAAAGAGATTCTTTAAAACCATCGGTTAGATAAACTCCAATGCAATTTCTACTCAATGTCAATAGATTTATTAACAATCCTATGTGCACTGAACAACATATTAAAAATCCTAACATTGTTTGCTGGTAAAACTAAATGTAAATCCTTTAAAATGTTTTAACAACATAAAGTTCAGAATCAACAACGATTCTGTATTAAACCTTTACAAACAAGTTGTCTGCTTGGACAAACAAATAAATCATACTGATTGCATTTATAAAACCAATTCCAAGTAGAGGCCACACACAGACAAGTTTGGTATACATGTACAGCACATAAACCAACATGTAACAACATAAAATGGAGTTATCTTCTCCCTTATCAATAATATCTGTATTGTATATAATTATGTGTATATCTCACTTATTGTACTTTTTGGCAATATCTATCCCTACTTTATAAAACACATTTAAGAGCTATTAAAGAGAACAATAATAATTTTTAAAATACTCTTGTTCCTTGTCTAGGTCTGGCTTATATTTCAACAGTCAGTGGGTCTCTCTTTTTTTCCATCTCTTAATATCCACAATGAAAGGATTGCAGTAAAAAACTCTATTTTGCTCATTATTTTCCCTTCAATAATTTAGTTTTCTGAAACTGGAAAATTTTCCATTTGACTATAAACTTGTTTTTGCTAACAAAACTATTTTTTTCTTTAATCAGAGTATTTACCTAGATTTTGTGCAGAGGTTATATGGCATGGAAAAGAATTTACTGAAAATTCTGTACTTATTTGACCTGCATATAAAGGTCACTGTGACCTAATTTATTATTCAAATGCATTGCATTTTCTCTTTGGATGATGCAGGTATACTACAAGTTTTATCACGATATCTTAAAACTGGCCCGACAGGTGGCTTCTTAGACGAACAAGAAGAACAAGTTCTAACCCATCTCCCTTCATTTAGAGGCGACACTTATTAATGAAAGACTTTAATTTTGAGAAACAATCATGCAGTATAAACCTTTCTAAATATAGATATATGTATTTATTTTCCACAGCTCTACACTATTAAATACAAACACTACATATTGTTTACCCTATCACTTGTTCATGTTCTAATTGCTGTTTTACTAACAAAGTTTGAGCTTAGGGTTAGGGTTATAAAACATAATGCGGCATAAAACAATTGTGTGCCAGTACAAGGGAAGGGATATATGTTTACACCAACTAACTATTGATGTTCCAAACAAACTGAACTTTAGTAGGGAACTTCTATACCTATAGAAAATGTATTGCATAGTAGTGAAAGATACACAAGTAAATTATGAAAAGTTTTAATCAGCTATGCTTACTGCACTGCTTATAACATACAATCGTATTTCTAAAAATTAAAATTGTTGCAAGTGCCCCTATGTTCATGTATCCAATATTCATGAAATGAATTGTTTAATAATTAGCTGGAGGATACAGTATCAATCCCACACCTGTGCACTTGTCTCATGTGAGAAACCTATCCCACCTTGGTGGCCCCAGTGACATGTTCCAGAACTACGTGTTTCGAATCCTGACTAGGAAGTGTCAGTCAGCAGAAGAATATCAACCTTCATTGCCTAATAAACAATTATCAAACTTTCCACAATGTTTTGCCTACTCTTTACTTTTAGAGTATACCATACTCATTCCTGGGTTAAATTTTATACTTATCTGTTGCATTCTCAATTTTCACATAGGATTTTTACCAAAAATTTTGTGTAAGAGGTTGGAGAAATAGAGAAGCATTTAAGATGTAGGAATCTGAGGTACGAAAACTTTACCCAAGGGTTGTATAGTTTTTAGCCCAAATTTTGCAACTGAGGACAGAATTATCATATCACCAATACCTACAAATATTAGAATATATACACATCTCTCAGTATTTAATGATTTCTCATACCCAATTACAAATAATGATTGCATGCTGTTTTAACAACTTAAACCGTACTGAAATGACATCTCACGGTTTTCACAAATGAGTAGCTTATTGTCTTCAAATCTGACTTTTAAAACTAGATCTGTACATTCGTGAATATACTACCATGTAGTCCTGGAATGCAAAACTATAGTTTTTAATTTCTTTCTTCTTATGAAATAAGGTTACTGCAGGATCTGGCAGTGAAATGGCTTAAGGTTTCCAAATATGAATATAGCACCACAGTTGAAGTGTGGACACAACGTTGTTACCCTATATGTTATTTACACGGTCACAGCAACATAATTCAGCTTTTATCAATGGAATCAACAAAAGCAACACCTAACTTTATAGGTGATAAAAAGTTTATACAAAAATTGCACATGAGAAAATTCATTTGAACTGTCATTACACATCTTTGGACTAAAAATAACTGTTCCCTGAATTTATGATGTATCATACAAACTATGGGCATGATCAGTCCAGTGGCAATGGACTGCAACTGGACCCTGGAGGCGTCCTTCTGCTCAGTCTTCCAAAACACACTTTCTTAAAGTAGAACATTCAAAGTGATGAGTTGCATCAACATATTGAAGTTTTTCATCCGCAATAAACTTCTACCCGAATATCCATTCCTACTGTGAAGTAGGATACATTTTATCCCATTCATGCTTCTTGCATGTTCACTTAAATGAGGATGAGTTAATGAATTTAGCTGCACTTTGTTGATGATGGTCTCTCTGGGACGTTCACAGGAAGAAGAGTCGGTCAGACAATTCAGGTGCAGGTTCTTTGTGGATGTTCTGTCCCACCAAGTAGGCCAGCTTGTGGGCATACTGAAACAAAACAAAAAAGCATTCCAGATAATATAATAGTTTGAAATCACAGATCAAAAAGATTTATCATATAATTTTCTGTTTTAAAAAGAATACATATATTTCCATGATTTGATAAGAAACTGCTAAAACTCACCTGGCAGGGAGCTGGTACACGGACGGTTCCTGGCCAGTTATAATACAAGTGAGTCATTTTATAAGACAGTCGCTGCATATGGTCTGGCTTGAGGTTGGTGTTGTCATGTACCACTATATAATGTGTTGGTGACACTGTGCCTTGTCTCACATGCTGGGATACTAGGAAGTAGTCATACCTACGAAACAAAATTACAGGTTTTATACTTCCATCATTTCTGTGTATGATGTTTTCAAGTGGCCATCTTTAACAGTGAATTTGTCAAAAAATAATTAACACAAGTTTATGTGGTTTAAAATGTTCCTGTTAATCAAAAAGAAAGCATGGATGAAATAGATAAGAACTGCTTTGGCCCTTCAACAGACATCTATTTTGTCAATGTTTCAAAAGTCTGGTGATGGGGCCAGAAAAAACTTTTTCTGATTAAGATTAACTCCTATTTTCTGTTTTAAGTCTGGCACTTGGCCACCAGGGTGATGCATCCTTAACATTTATATATAACACTGATTTACTTTGCGAAAGAATGATCCATGCCAAATTTGGTAAAAATATCTTCACCCATATACTTCAGGATTTTAACAAGATTTTTTACTTTTTGTATAATCAGGAAAACGTATAACACAATTCAAAAGAAACAAAATAAAAGGTACCAATCAAAGATGCATGCTTCTTTAAATACTGGTGAGAATTTTAGTAAGGTTTCTCTGTCAGGATTCCTCGATAACATTCCAGGGAACATGTATCTAGGGCCTACTGCATGAATGTTTTGCAATGGACATAACTAAGTGATTGCTAACATATGAACTACACAACTACTAAACAACATGATTACTCCATGCTTACAGATCTCTTGAAGCTTTTTACCAATGATAGCCCATATGAAACTTTTATAGCTGCAAATGTCATTTAAAGCAAACCAGCTAATTTTACCGACCCTACTACCCCAATGTAGTTCAGCCCCTTTATTTTCATATGTTTTGTTCCCAAGGGCTACGAATGCTATCACTACAGATTCAAGGTTGTTTTAAGCAAACAAGAGAAACTTAGCGAGCTCACAAAGATCTAACCCCTTCTTCGTTTTGCAAGAGTTATAATACCTGTGCACATCTACATATGATGTTCTTTCACTGTGCCAAGTTACAAGAAAATCCAACAAATAGGAGCAGTTGTGCCTGCAAGGTTTCTGGAGAAGAAATTAAAGTTTCAACGGTCCTCCTAACTCTAGGAAAAATAGTTCAATATCCAATTCCTTTCTTTAAGCACATCTGCAAATGATTTACTTTCACTGTGTCAAGTAACAGTTGTGCTTAGTACAAGGTTTCTGGAACAAAATAATATAAGTTTCAAGAGTCATAACTCCACTAAAAATAATTGAATCCAAAATTCCTTCTTTCATGCACATCTACATAATTATGAAGTACTTTCACTGTGTCAAGTTACATCAAAATCTAACAAACGGTGAAGAAGGAGTTGCACTTAAAAGGTTCATGGACAGGTGGATGAACAGGGCGATTCCTTTATACCCTCAACATTGTTTGCAGGGAGGGTTGGGGGGTATAATAAACAAATTTTAACTCTTTAACCTAGTCTTCAGCCCAGAGCAGGGCAATCCATTTCATTCATAAAAAGTTTGATCTCCATGGGCTAAGTGTGCTACCACTATAATTTGTTTGACATCTGCTGAGATCTCTCAGCCCCTCAGTGTTTAACTTTTGATACAAGTTTTCAGCATGCTGCCACAACAAATGAGTTGAAATCAGCCAAGTAGATCAGAAGTAAATGTCTTTAAAACAGATCTCATGGCCTCTCAGAGTCAGAACCGAGGAGCATCAGCTTCATTTTACTTTTGTGCTACAACTACGAATTTGTTGAAATCTGTCCATTATTAGCCAATCTGACCCCTTTTGACCCAGATCCTTAGCCCCCTGGGGGATCAGAAACAGCTCCTTTATTTGTATGAGTTTTAATCATCATTGTCTAAGAATGCTAGAACCAAAATTCGGTGGAATTCTGCTCAGTAGTTGAAGTAAAAGTTGACAAATGACAGACGACGTACAGACAAAGCACCATCACAGAAGCTTATCCCTGTACTTAATACTGGATGAGATAAAACATGAATTCAGACACTTTATACAGACCATTCCCTCCTAGTGATGGTGTGATCCACAACTGTTCCTGAGGGGGGATTTTCCATGTCACGGTGACCCTGCAAGAAATTCCAATAAGGACAATAGGTAAGTTTTCTATTGATGAAGCCGATACAAAAAAAAACATGCTTTTAATTCATACAAGAATTTCACGGGAGTGGATGCGTCGCCTGCTCAGCGCTTTTAGTAAGAAAAGTTGAGCTTTTAGTAAGAAAAGTTGCATTGAAACTCAACAGAACAAGAGGCCCAAGAGAGCCTGTGTCGCTCACCTGAATATTTAAGCAGTCATAGCAAATATTCTCATTAAATATTATATTGTACATACTACAAATTTGTCACTCGCAAACTTTGTCTGCTCCATCTGTTAAAAACTACCAGTCAAATATTATTTTAAGATTTTATGCTTTTTGGCCATCGTTCTTCTTAAAAAGTTGTTTGAAATATGAAGGTTCTACACCTTTTAGTTCTTCAGAAGAAATCGTTTGAGGTGATGGCATATTTGACCGCTGTTACCTTGAAAGTAGGTCAAGGTCATTTTCATTCTAAAACTTTGTCGGGCTCTATCCCAGGAAGCCACCAGCCAAATATACAGGTTATATACCTTTAAGTTCTTCAGGAGAAGTCGTTTTAAAGGGTTCAACATATTTCACCACTGTGACCTTGAAAGCAGGTCAAGGTCATTTTCATTCTTAAACTTTGTTGGGCTCCTACCAAGGAAGCTTTCAGTCAAGTATCATGGCTCTACGCCTGTCCGTTCTTCAGAAGAAGTCGTTTAAAGGAAAAGTTGACGGACGACAGACAGATGCTGGAGGGACAGACGCCGCACCAAGACATAAGCTCACTTGCCCTTCAGGCAGGTGAGCTAAAAATCTGTATTACATGTTGAACATTATTGCTTCTAGCATTAACGTACAAAATTTGAAAGAAATTAAAAAATAAAAATGTTCTTGCATTTACACAATGCTGTTATTTGGCAATAAAAGGGGCATAACTCCACCAAAAATGCATGTGAACTTCTGAAATGCTAACTTTTCCAAGCTATATTGGTATGCAATATGTGTACCATGTTTGAATTCAATCAACCCAAGGGAACTCAAGTTATCGCATGGAAACCTTGTTTCAGACGACGCAACCGACGACGACAAAGTAATACCTATATGTCGCCTCGCATTGCAGGCGACTCAAAAATGAATATGAAATTACAACTATGAGCATTTTGAAATATTGTTCAGAAGTCAGTGGGATCTGTTAATTTGAAAAAACTTGACATTGTTATATTTGATTCAAGAAAGGCAAGTATTTATGTTTAAGTTTTGTTTTGAAGATACAAGTCAATACCTTGAGAAATATTCTGGTGTTGATGCGCTTCTGGACAACAACAACTCCTAGACGTGGCTGGTAGTCCTCTCCAAATTGGCTGAAGCAGCCCTTCAACTGTTCCACCTCATGACCAGACACAAACTGAAGCTGTCCATCACCAACGCCATCCCTGAACACAATTATCTTTTCCGGAAAAACATGATTCACTTCATGGTACTTCCTAATGGCCGAAATGAGACAGAGTTTGAGGCCGTCCACCAGTTCTTGGCCTGGCATCTGAAAGCAGACTCTGCTATACCAGGTTGTACACTTGGGGTTGGTACTAGCCACAAACCCGGCTATGGATCTCTTACCCTTTGCAGCATCATGATAAACGTCAATCCCAACCACCATCAGCTTTTTCTGTAGAAAAGAATCAAAAGAAAAATGTTTTTTCAATAATTCTGATATAACAGCCCTTGTACATATCTAACCTTGCCTTTGGTTTGCATTTGTTTAACAATGACCTTTGATAAAAAGTCCTACCTTTCACAACCCTCTTATGTATTGCCTAGTACATATCAATCTTTAAACACTGCATCACTATCGTTTATCACTGGGATTCTTTTCATAAGAGACATATTTATGTAAGAGAAAATTACCATTGGAATATCCAATGCCCACAGCTCTCCGCCCATCTTACAATTGATCTGTAAGGCAATCTTCTGAGTCACACTGCGTAGCTTGTCCTCCCTCATGATGGTTTTGGCAATGATGACCTTACAATTAAACAAATAAAATCACATAAAACATTTGCAATGCTCTCACTACCATAACAACAGGCATATCTTCATTATAATTATATCAACCAAGCTGCCAGTGGCAGCATATCCCCCCACTATCCAAATGCAAACTTTGTACAATCTTCAATTGACAATTTACACTAAAGACCATTTATGATAGGGTTACCCATACCCATACACCAAGTTTGAATATTGTATGACAATACCTTTTAAAATTCTCATTCAGGTAAGCAAAATTCAGTTTTTAGCAATGGAGACCATGACCTCAAACTGCCCAACCCTTAAATTAAATGGACACAATATTTGCAATCAAAAAGGTATTTGACTGGGTATGGTAATTCATACTTAAGTTATCAACGGGACAAACACAATGAAGCAGAATGTATTTTTTAGCAAAGGTGACCTTGACCTGTGGCAGATCACATCAAAAATCAATAGAGTTCTTTGTATCCACTACAGCAACCAGTACACCATGTTTGATCTTTGTAAGATCAATAGTTTTCAACATCCATACACGTCCAACCAAGCCGAATTTGATTTTTAGTAAGAGTAGCCATTACCTCTAAAAGGCACTATGACAAAATTTGTAGATTCTTCACATCAACTAGGGCAACCCAAACACCAAACTTGAACTTTGTACAATCCAGTTTTCTCAGGTTATCCTCTGGACAAGTCCAACCAAGCATAATTCTATTTTAAGCAATGGTGACCTTAACCTCTAAAGCACCACGCCCAAAATCAATAAGGTTCTTCACAACCACTAGGATGACTCTTTAAACTAGACAGTACATACACTTACCTGAGAGGGAACAGGGCATTCGGAACAACACAACTTCTTGATTGCAGAGTAGCGGTCATCTCTGCTAGTTGGGCAGATAATCACAACCATCTGAATCTGTAAATAGTTTAATAGACAAATGCTATTATATATGCAACATCAGTCATCAACAAGAGATCCCAGAGGGATCTTGGCGCCCATCATTGTACCATCTCCATTACTTCTGTGTCAGTTTGATCTTTTCTCTCCTTTTCTCTATCTGTTATAAGTCATATTAACAGTAAATGCACCTTTAGGTAACTTTTGATCTTAACTTAATACTGCTGTGTGTAAAAGACAACCTTCAAAGTAGGCGTCATTTCACATATTTACTAGTACAGAACTCAATGTGAATGAAATACAAGAGGCCCAGAGGGCCTGTATCGCTCACCTGGATACCAAAGCAATCATGGCAAAATATTCTCCGAATGAGATCAAGGGAATATGCCGGACCCCAAGGCCAATCCTTGTAGCATATCTGTATTAGATTCTTCATGCCCAGCAATTTTATGTATGGTTATGGGGTGGGAATCTCAACTGTTTCCAAGCTTTGACACAGAAACTAGGTCCCTAGGGTTGTGGCCAGACCCCAAGATCAATTCTAATATCGTGACTGCATTTGTCTCTTTTTACCCATCATTTGTATATATACAAATGTAGTTTTGGGGTGGGGATCTCAACCATTTCAAAGTTATGACCCAGGGGTTAAGTCTCCAAGGGTTGGGCCAGACCCTATAGCCATCCTGGAAGCAAATGTGCATTCTTCTCTTTATACTCTGGGCTTTAGACCCTGGGGTCAATTCTAATATCATGACTGCATTCGTCTTTTTATGCCCAACAATTGTATATTTAGTTTTGGGGTGGGGATCTCACCAGTTTCAAAGTTATGGCCCAGGGACTATGTCTCCAAGGGTTGGGCCAGACCCTATAGCCATCCTGGAAGCAAATGTGCATTCTTCTCTTTATACTCAGCAATTGTATACCATGGTTATATGGTGGGGATCTCAACCATTTCCAAGTAATACACATTTTTTGGCCCAACCCCTTAGCCCAGGGGGTCAGCCCCAATATTTGTACAATTTTGAATCCCTGCGACCTAGGGATGCTTCCGACCAAATATGATTAATATCCATGGTATAGTTCTACAGTAGAAGTCTTTTATAGCAATATAGCCAAATTGCCCCCTTTTTGGCCCCGCCCTCAGCCCCACCATTTGTACAATTTTGAATCCCCACCACCTAGGGATGCTTCCAGTCAAATATGGTTGATATCCATGGCATAGTTCCAGAGAAGAAGTCGTTAAAGCAATATAGCCAAATTGACTCCTTTTGGCCCCGCCCTTCAGCCCCCTGGGGGGTCAGCCCAACCATTTGTACAATTTTGAATCCCCACCACCTAGGGATGCTTCCAGTCAAATTTAGTTGAATTACAATCAGTGGTTAAGAAGAAGAAGTCGTTTAAAGTAATTGCTGACGGACGGACGGACGGACGGACGGACGACGGACGCAACGGTATGGCATAAGCTCACCTCAGTCCTTCGGACCAGGTGAGCTAATAACCGTTCATTGCAATATGAGAAAGATCTGTTAAGTTGTTCCTTCTGCCATCTTGTTTTTTACCATTCTCAAAATAACACATGCACAACTGAGGATCAAGGATCAAGAGGAACTTTCATATCAAATTTGAGAAAGATCCCACAAGTACTTCCTGAAAAATAGCACTAAAAAATCTTAGTGCCAAAATCCAAGTTGGTCGCCTGTGTGCAAACCATTTTTTTTATCAGATCAGTCACAAAAGTTCAAATGCAAAACTACAGACCAAGGGGAATCTCCACATTAAATTTGAGAAAGATCCATTAGGCACTTTCTGAGAAATAGCGATGACAAATCTAGAATTCCAAAATCCAAGATGGTCGCCTGTCAACCATTTTGTTTATCCGATCAGTCCAAAAAGGTCACATGCAAAACTACAAACCAAGGGGAATCTCCACATTAAATTTGAGAAAGATCCATTAGGCACTATCTGAGAAATATTGATGACAAATCTAGAATTCCAAAATCCAAGATGGTCGCCTGTCAACCATTTTGTTTATCCGATCAGTCCAAAAAGGTCACATGCAAAACTACAGACCAAGGGGAATCTTCACATCAAATTTGAGAAAGATCCCTCAAGTACTTTCTGAGAAATAGCGATAATAAGAATTGTTTAAGGACGGACGACAGGAGACAGAGGACGGACTGATGGACCATGGACAAAGGGCGATTTGAATCTGATGGTGGGCAATAAATAAAATCTCTTAGCACAAGATAAAGCTTTATATTACTTGGCCTACATTGCATATCAAGTCTGTTTCCTACTGAGAATTCCTTCATATATCAAACATAATAGAACAGAGAATAACAGAGAATATAAACAAAATGAGTGGAGGCTAACAAAGATAGAAAAATAGAAAAAGTCTGTAACAAATTTAAACTACAAAAACTTAGCTGTAGAACTTGATAACACCATACAAGGGTATAAATATCAACTAAATGTGTTCTGGTTCTGGGGTTGATGAGACATTTTGTATATCTTGCTTTTTAATATGGACTTGCTTGTGGTCTTTTGCTCTTTAACCTTGATTGATGACCACCAACATACAATCAGGTATAGAACTCAATGTAAACATAATTTGATGTAAATATTAACACAAGAGGCCCAAGAGGGCCTGTATCGCTCACCTGAATATTAAAGCAGTCATAGCAAAATATTCTCATTAAATATTATATTGCACTAAAAATATTTCCCTCACAAACTTTGTTGGCTCCATCTGTTGAAACTACCAGCAAAATATTATTATAAGATTCTATGCTTTTTGATTCTTCTTCAGAATTTGCTTGACATATTTTTCCCTGTGATCTTGTAAGTAGGTCAATGTCATTTTCCTTCTCAAATTGGTTAGCTCAATTCCAAAAAGCTCCCAGCCAAATCTTATGAATCCATTCCTTTTAGTTCTCAAGAACAAATCCATTAAAGTGTTGTTGACCTCTGTGACCTCTAAAGTAGGTTGAGGTCATTTTCATTTGCAAACTTTGGTGAGCTCTATCCCGGGAAGTCACCAGCCAAATATTATAATTTTATGCCTTTTTTAATTATTCAAAAGAAGCTGTTTGAACTGTTTGACATATTTGAACGCTGTGACCTTGAAAGTAGGTCAAGGTCATTTTCATTCGCAAACTTTGTTTGGCTCTTTCCCAGGAAGCCACCAGCCAAATATTAACATTTTATAACTACCAGTTTTTCAGAAGAAGTCGTTTTAAAGTGTTTGACATATCTGCCTCATGTGACCTTAAAAGAAGGTCAAGGTCATTTTCATTCTCAAACTTTGTTCGGCTCTTTCCTAGGAAGCTACAAGCCAAATAT